TTTTTTTCTTAAAAAAAAATATTATGTATTTGTGTTGACTTTTTGTCTATTTATCTAAATAAAAGGGTTAATAGCTAAATATGAACTTGACTCATTACACAAATGAAGGGGCTAATGGCAAAATATGTACTTTGTGTAGGAAGTTGAGGTCCTATAAATATTTTATTTATTTTCTTGTGATGTTCGGTCAAACCAAGTTGTGTGAGAATAAATATTCTTTGCAGTGATGGTTTTCCTTTCCTTCTCATTGTTGTCCTCGTGAATGTTTGAATATACTTTAAGATCTTTGTAACCCAGACGCAATTTATCTATTCCAATGTCAAGAAAAACAAGAAAAATTGTAATTTTTTCAATTATTTATTTATTTAGTAGTCTTGTCTAATTAGTTTTTTTTTTCTTTTATGATTTTATCTGCAAATACCTCTAATTACCACACAAGTTCAAATCGATAAATTCAAAAAGAAAAAATTTGTCTGGGCCTCTAAATTTCTGGAGACGGTCCCGACAACAGGCATCAATAATTGTAATATTAATATATATTAAACTAACATTAAACTAACACATATGCATCAATAATGAATGTTTTATAATTTTACCAACCATCAACTATTGTTATGGCCACCATGCCATTTAATCACTTTGCTAATACAACATAATTACTCCATTAGCCGAAAGTCTTATAGCTCTCTTCTATTAGCCTCTGGCTCTATAAGCCGAGTCATTCCATGGCTCCATAGCAAAACCGTAACCTATATATGTGATGGAATCTTTCAAAGAAAGCTAACAAAAATGAGTTTACTTAATTTGCTTTTAATTATAAAACTTCAAACCGGTCATTGGATCCAAAAATGATTGCCAATTTAATTAATACCCCCCAAAAACACTATTCTATATGTCAGCAATATTTGATTTTGGATTTATGTCACTCTCTCTCTCCATCTGTCAACTCATAAGTCTAATTTTAAATAAATATATGCAAACTGTTCTTTTTTGTGATGTATTTATACATTTATTTGCAAGCAGTTGTTGATTGCATTAATTCATCAGCTTAAGGGCATTAATATATTTATTAAATGTAGCTAGAGATAACTATCTAATTAGTGATGAAAAAAATTGAAGGGAGAATGAGAACTTTAAAAAAAAAAAAAATGATTTTGTCAAACCTTATGGACACAAACATAGAACACTAAAAGTTATCAATACTTGGTGGGTGAATAATTTATCTATTGTATTTTTTATTTTTTATTTTTGGTATCAAATGATGTTCGCCATATTAATCCCATGTGGCACAATTCAAATTATAATTGATATTCATAAAATGCAGCATTATAATTTTGAAAATTTGTGATAAATATAAAATTGTTTCGATCGAACTATTTGCAAACACAGTTCAGTTCAGCTCAAGATATCGACTCGTTTGTTTGTTCAGATGAATTGAGCTCAAATAGTTAACCGAGTTTATTTATTAAATGAGTATAGCCGAATTTAATCGCGAACAACTCCATTTGTTTTTATTTTTCATGCTTTTTTTTGTTCTTATTAATTTTTTCTTTTTTAGAAAAAACATTGGAGACGAACTTGTTCGCAAATGAACATTTCTTGTTCACGAATAGACGAGAAGAGCTTTTATGAACTTCAACGGGTTGAAGCGAACCCACTCATTTATTAAACAAGTACAAGCTCGAACATAAGCTAATCGACTCGAATAACACTCCAACTAATACGAAGCTATATCTGTTGTATGTAAAATATAATAATAGTAGTAGTAGTTATTTAATTCGAAAGAGAAAAAAATATGAAATAATTGGTTGGCATAATAATATAGGGAATGGTAAGGTTCCTTTACGGAACCATTCCGTCAAGATTTATAACCATTAAATTATTATATAACTGTCAGAGATAGTTGATTTAACAGTTACAAACCTCGACTGAATGATTCCGTATCGACACTCTTCCAATTATATATGCGAAAAGATGGTTAAACGGAATCAAATAGAAAAATACATGGAATATGAGTGAATGTGGCCTTTTTTTTGCCCTTTTTCTGCAATCGTAATTCTCTTATCATTACCACTCGCACTCACTCTCACAAACACCTCATGTGACCAAGACAAACGTTCCTTCCAAATCCCGATAAAACTGATAATTGAAATTTTACACTTAACTTTTTTTATTTTTTTTCTCAACTTTATTTAAGAATAATTTTCGAAAATATAATTTTCCAAAATGAATCTAGTTTAGGAAAAAAATCAGTGCATGTCTATAATAATAATAAAAAAAATGTTAAAGTCCCGTTACAGAATCATTCTATCAAAATTTATAACCGTTAGATCATCATGTAACCGTCATGAATAATTGATGTAACGGTTACGAACTCGACGGAATGATTCTGTAACGAAATCGTAAAATTTTTCAATAAAAAAATCATACTACTATATTACATGTATTTGGAATATTTTTTTTTTTTTTTTGGAAAACTGGAAAGGTCCTAATAATAATGTGCTTTACCTAAAGTTAAGACATAGGGAATCAAATAGGTTGGACAGGCTATGAGGCTATGGCCTACCACACTCTAATAAAACTCACAAAATTAATTGATAATAACTAATTAATTAAATTACTATAGACAAAATCAGGACCACTGCTTATCAACACCACTTGTCTCCCTCTTGCCTTTGTGCAAAAGTAGGCCATCACACCCAAAAATGGGATTAAAATTTTATATATATAAAATAAAAATTGTTGTGTATAATCACCAAATATATATATATATATATATATATATGAAGATTGTATTATTAATAATTTAACTTATTGGTATAAACTGTGAGTTTATAATTAACTAGTAGTAGAACAAACTATGAAACTATAGAGGTGTTAATTTTTTTTTTTTTTAAAAAAAAGGCTTGGTAGATACATTATTAATTGATAAATTAATAAGTTTATTATTTTTCAATTAAGATATAAATAATTAATATTTATGTATGAAGGCAAATATATATATTTTTTTCTTATGTATACAATATGAATGTCAAAGAAAAAAACTAAAAAATTATAATCTAAGTTATACATGTATAATTTTAAAAATCCTAACAGGCATGATAAAAAATACGTTTCTACATAAACTACTCCAAAGCATAAAAAATTGACACATAAAATTACGATTGGCCACAAATTTAAATTCGAGATTACAAATAACCGAAAGTCGCCACTCGAATTCAGTAAAAGAGAGCCGAATGTCGAAATTTTAAATTCAAAAAAACGGTGTAGTTAAATATATAGGATGAATGATGTTAAAAGAAAAAAGGGAATAATTTCAAAGTGTTGGCTAATTAGAAGAGAAGATGAAATTACACATGCAAAAGTATATTTATTTGCTGTACTTATAGATAGAAAATAGATACACACAAGTATACATTTTTTTTTAAAAAAAAAAAAAATAAATAAAATAAAATAAAATAACAATGGATTTTGGTTTTTGTACTTGGGTATAATTTGTAATTTACCCAAAAGTCAGGTGGCTGTATAGAAATAGTCTCTCAAGCACACACCACATTTGCACATGGACTCAGATCAACTTTCCTAATCTGGTGCACATGTTCGTAGCTTACACGGCAAGCTCCTGTTGTTGCATAGTGTGTACGCTAATTACGTTTTAATAGTGTGTATAAAAAGGTCCACTCATGAAAATATTTTTTCGGATCCAAAAACTTAATTAGTAAAAAAAAAAAAAAAAAAAGTCAGTATAATGCCACATAGTAAACTTATTATAATATTTAATTGTTGGGAGACTCACCCACGATTGCATAAAGAAAAATAGATTTAATTTATAAGTCTATTGGGATCATCCTCGAGCTTTTTTTTTGAGATGAAATCTCACTTGTATTTTATCTGGGCTTTCCTTCTCGTGTGTTATCTGGGCTTTTCTTGTCTTGGTGCGTTTGTATTTTTTCTGGCTTTTCTTTTTGGGATGAAACTCATTTGGGTTTTATCTAGGCTTTTTATTTTGGGATAAAACCTTACTTGAATTTTATACGTACTTTTCCTGGCTTTTCTTTTTGGGATGAAACTTCATTTGGGTTTTACCTGGTCTTTTCGTGTCTTTTTGCGCTTTATCTATGTGGGCCGCACCCGTTTTCCCCATTTCTTACAAAACTAAAATGCACTTGTGGGATTCATAATTGAGGTCGAAATCTTTAAATAAATCTTTAAATTTGTTAATTACTACAAAACAAAGGGTAAATTTGGTGGTTGTAAAATGGGGGGTGGGCAAAATTGGAGAGAATTTGGAAAATTAACTAGAACTCCAGTTGCAGGTTTAAAACCATGATTGGCATAGTACAAAGCATCAGAGTATTTTCAGTGTGAAAAATAATAATGGGCAGAAAAAAAAGAATAATAATAATAAAAAAAAAAAGGAATCATCACAGATAAATTCAAAAAAAACTAAATAAATAAAAAAAACAAAGAGCTTTTAATGAACTCTTTGGCCCCTTGCAGAAAGCAACTCATCTTTTTTTCTTCCCACACCTCACTAAAAAATAATTCACGCATTTATTGGCTACAATTCGTCCTCCAATTTTCAACTCTCTTTTTTTTTCCCTCTTTTTTCAGAAATAAATTAATTATTTCTCAAAAAAAAAAAATTAATAAATAAATTAATAATGCAAACACAAACACATAATACTGAGCAAAAGCTTCTGATTTTACTTCTCTACACAGTTAACACTACTTGCAGAATTTATATATGCAGCAGAGCAGAAGAACATGGGAATTTTAAAAGAGAAACCAAAATAGAGATCAAATTTGTCTATACACTGCATCTAATTAATTCATTTAACAAGAAATTAAACCTAAATTGACACAAAAAAAAAAA